ATTTTACTTAGCTCTTTTCTGTTTTAAATCTCTGGTGTACAGTTTTTCCATATGTCACTATAATAAAACCAATGACATCCTAATGCACCTAATACTGATTCAGAGTTTGATACACTTAATTTAAAAACAAAAACATTTTTCTATGCTTGTATCAGGTTTGAACTCAGGACCTGAGTGCTGACTCTTAACTTTTGTTTTTTAAGATTCATAGTTTTTAATTATTTTTTTCAATATAAGAACTTTATGTAAAGCAAAATCAGGCCCAATTGAGGAGAAAAAGAAACAACACAATCATTAAAAGACCTTAACATTCATCTCTGAGAAATAGAAACAAGTCACCAAAAGAAAGCAAACGAACATGGATCACTTTATTTGAGTAAGATTATCCATCAGTTGACTTAATTTGCATTTACAGAGCATGATGCTAAAAAACTTCATAGCTTTTTTTTTCTCTCTCAACTTTTTTACCTAAGACTAGTGTCTACTCCTTGAGCCACAGGTTCACTTCTCACTTTTTGTGGATTAATTAGAGTCTTTCAGATTTATCTGTTTAGGCTGGCTTTGAACCTCAATCCTCAGATCTCATCCTCCTGGTAGCTAGGAGTATAAACTTGAGCCTGTTAAAAAAAATAAGTGGATTCTATGTGTAGTAAATACACTCATCACATGATACAATTTGATGAATTCTTATGCTTTCATACAACTGAGTGCCACTACTTAAAAGCTCCCTGATACCTTCCAGTCAGAACCTTCTTGTATGCCAAGTGATTTCTGTCACATGAGAGTAGTTTTGCTTATTCTTGACCTTTTAATAATGCTTTCTGTGATTCATCCACATTATTGTTCTCCCCCTACCCCCCTACTCCCCCATTGGTACTTGGTTTTGAACTCAGGGTCAAAATTGTTAGGCAACTGCACTACTTGATTCATGACCCATAGCCCCTTTTTGCTTTAGTAATTTTATTTTTTGGCAGCCTGGGACCAGTTTCCAACTATGCTCTTTCTACCTGTGCATCTGGCATAGCTAGAATGACAGGCATGAACCGCCACACCTGGACTGTTGATTAAGATAGGGTCTTACTAATTTTTTGCCCAGGCTTGCCTTAAATCACAATTCTCCCATGCTTAAAACTTAGTGGTCTACCACATTCAGCCATTCATTCTTATGTATAGCTATATAGTATTCCTTTAAGGCCATACCACAGTTCATTCATACATTCTCCTGATGATGGGAATTTGATTATTTTTAAACTTTGGCAGTTATGAATAAATACACAGTAGATATTCTTATATGAATCACTTGATGAATGTATTGGTATACCCTTAATAATTAGAACATAGAATTATACTATCAAATCATTTTGCATGCTTTATTTCATCTCATAGTCATGAAACCCCATGAGATAGGAGATATCTTTCCATGAGATATAGTATTTCCATTTCATTTTTGAGAAAAATTATAAAATTGTCAGATGGCTTCCTAGGGTTCCTGAGAAACCAAGGCCTAAGGTTATGAATGTACTGTTTGCAGCATGCTATGTGATTTGTTGTGCTATGTGATTTCTCTCTTGCCTTTATTGAATGAAATAGATAACATTAATGAATGCATAGATATCATTAATGAAGCCCAATTTATGTCTTTTTAGGCACTCTTTTATTTGTATTGAATTTCATTTTGTTTGCAGTGTTTTGGTTTTGGTTTTGGTTTTTTGTTGGTCACAGGGCTTGAACTCTAGGCATGGGCACTGTCCCTCAGGTCTTCAGCTCAAGGCTAGCACTCTACCACTTGAGCCACAGCACCACTTCCTTTTTGCAGTGTTAAGGGTTCAACCTAGTGTTTATTCAGGTGCTCTATTACTGAACAGTGCCACCAACCTAATGCTTTCCTTAGCATATTTAGTTGTACAGGGATTTCTTTGTGGTTTTTCCATACTTGCCTAGAGTGTAGTTAAATGTGTGTGTGTGTATGTGTGTGTGTTCTCATGTGCTTTGGCTCTAGTTATGGCTCACAGATTTTTATGCCCAGGCTGGCTTTGAACTGCAATTTCAGATCTTAGCCTCCTGTATATATAGCTAGGATTGCAGTTGTGAGCCACTGGTGCCCAGCCTGATGCTATTTGTATATTTGGAATCACCTGACATTGCTGAAATCAGCTCTTTGGAAGCCAGGTGCTTGTAAGTTGAGCATGTAAGGGTCTAAGCAAAAAGTCATGTGTTAGCTTTTAGCTTTAATGGAGAGGTATGGAGGTATGGGTGACAGTTCCAATATAGAGGTTACTGATTCCATTTCTCAGCATATGGCCAGGATTGTATTTCCTTGTATTTAAAAAGTAGTAGTTTGTTCATTTCACAGAAATCACCAGGTAAAGAGGCTCTTTGTGGTAACCTCAAGTAAATGCTGGTGGTTTGAAGAAGGGGACATGTATTACACAAGTGTCTGTTCTATTTACTCTCTACTTTTTCAGCATATTACAGAAGGAAGAACAGGACAAAAGAAGAGAGTTGATGGGCTGGGAAGGTGGCTCAGTGGTAGAGTGCTTGCCTTGCATGCATGAGGCCCTGGGTTCGATTCCTCAGCACCACATAAGCAGAAAAAGCCAGAAGTGGTGCTGTGGCTCAAGTGGTAGAGTGCTAGCCTTGAGCTGAAGAGCTGAGGGACAGTGCTCAGGCACTACAATCAACCAAAAAAAAAAAAAAAAAAGACATGATGAAAATTGATGCCTACCCCTTTTTGCTGCACTCAGAGAATTTTTCTTTTATTGAGAAAGCAGGCCAATTCTTGAATTTTCCACTTGGCCTCTAGCTTTCCTGTCAGTGCACAGTGTGGAAATGACTTGCAGTTAGAAACTCTGATGAGAAGGAGCAACATGTGAAGAAATCAGCTTTGCCTGGGGCTTTGGGAAGGATAATGGATGGCAGCCTAGCTTTTAGCCATAATATGCTTATGCAGAAACTTGAAGCAGATCTGTCAGGAAATCAGCTGCAAATGCTTAATCCTTGATGGAAAAGAAGGTTTCTTTTGCTACTGTTCCTCTCTTCCTAGGAATTTGGCCTCGTCTCAAAGATGTGCTGTCTGTGTTTAATTGTACATACCATGGTCCTACTGCGCAGATGGTCCTATCTTATATGAATTGCACTATGAAAGCGCATTGCAGGTGGAGGGGTATGAGAATTGGAGCTTTTAGAGAATGGGTGCCAAAAACCACTAGTTTTCTAGCTTTATCAATAAGCTATTATCATGTTTCTGCTTACTGAGGTAACAAATGTAGTAGACTGTTGCATCCTTGAACATGTGGAGTTTATCATTTGCTTGAGAGTTACTGGCCATTTGTTGCCTCACAGAAGTTGATGGCAAGACACACTTTTGCCTTCATTTTCAACATGACTGGTTAAGTCTTACCCTGTAGCTGTCTATTTCTGATATACAGAAAATACTGCAACGCTTAATCATAACAAATAGATATCTAGAGTAAACACTGTTTATCCAACTCTTAGCCACAAACCATGTGCAAATAGATGCATGAATTTTTTGCTCATGTATTTGTATTTGATTCTCACATAGCTTTATTGATTATCACCCAGAATCAACACATGGAATTAACGATACAGAAGCTACTTTAGGGTCTTGTTATAGACTGCCCCCCTGCTGCTAGGATTTTCTGTCTATTGTAGCATTGATTCCCAATACTGCGCATGGTCCATTTTAGTGTCAGCAAAGCATGATGGAAAGATCTATAAGTATCCTTAAAAGATAAGGCCACAGTACTGATGGAACCAGTGCCCAGTTTGCAGAAACGGCCGTTGCTGTGACTTGTATGTGTTTTTGTGTGCATGAGAAATGACAGGATAGGAACAGCTTGCTTCCCGCCACTTGTTGCATGCAGCCTAATATTTAATGGGTTATGATTTGTTAGCGATGTACTATGTATAGGGAAAGCAGTTCTTGACTGATTTTCATGCTTTCCTGTTTTGGGTTGAGGCAAGAGAGCAGAGGTGAACTAGAAGGCTCACTTGCCACATAGCATTCCACTGCTACCTGAGGATGCTAATACAGAGAGGCCTGCCCTATCTTTTTCCACCCATGTTAGGGCAGTCACTCCTACAGACTTGTCTACCACCTGAAGTACAGATACTACTAGAAGATCCCTTTTTCCTCTTAGGATAGATAGGCATCGGTAGAACCTAGCTCTTAGATATAGTTGCCACATGCTTTGAAGTTTGAAAAGATTCCCACCATTGTATCTTTAGGGACAGGACAGAAAAACTCCCACCATAATGTTAGGGTAGAGTAGAAAGAACGGGGTAGAAGAGTAGGGTAGAAAGAGTGTTCAGATGACTTAGAGGGGCATCCACTGCTTTTTAAAAGCCCACATGTCATTTGTAGGCCCTCACAGACTTGGCTTCAGGGCATTTTTCTTTTCTCTGTATTTTAGAAGCTTTAGGTTTAGAGCACTGGAGAAAAGTTCTCATCTGCCTGTTTTCAAGCAATTTCTAACATAAATGGAAGGCTTTCTGTGAAATGGATAGACAACTCCCAAGCAGATGCATTTTTGTGTTTCGCATTGCTCACAAGAAGTTTTTACCCCTTTTTGTGCTCAGTGGGGTTCAGGAGTAGATGATTTTAATCCTACTTTATTCTTATGCTCCTTTCAAAAGCGACAAAGATACACTGGTTTGAGGATCATGATTATTTCCTGAATGATGAAATACCAGGTGTGCTTTGCTCTGATGTTGTGCCCTTTGAAGACACAATCTAGACAAGCTGACATTTCCTCTCTCTTCATAAGAACATTCTCTGGTGACTAGTTAGTGTGATGTTGAACCTCAAAATTGGCCTTCTTGTACAGAGCAAAGGAAAATGTGCCAAAATGATGTTTCTTTGGGGCCATTTGTAGTGAGACTTGACTCGAGTCTTCCTAGGTTTGTCTGTGGCAATGTTAGTGGACTGGTTCCTCCATCAAAGAATCAATTGAGGACCATCTCCAACTTTCTGTTCACAGTTTCTGGCCCCCAAAGAAAAGCCAAATGAAGATGTGGCAGCTGCATTTGAAGAAGGTGGTGATGTGGATGATTTAGTAAGTACTTTTAATATGGACCTGATACTTAAAGATCACAATTACCTGATCTGTGAATATAGTCCAAAAGCTGCTTATCATAGGCTTTTTATTATGTAATTATTTCTAGCACACTAGAAACAACCTACGCTATTATTTATTACCTTTACACTTTAATCAGATAGGCAATTTCATCATGGAAATTCCTGTGGTCTGTGGTTTCAATTATATTGTTCATTCAGATAATCCTCTCCTTTGAAAAGCTAAAAAGAGCTGGGGAGGCTATTTCCTAAGTAACAAAATGTTATAATTTACTGAAATTGTTCTTAGCTAGGAATAAGCAATACAACATACAATTTGTGTGGGTTGACAAATACAAACAGCCTTTAAAAAGCCTACTTCTTAAATGTTCTCAATTAACTTAATATAAACAAAGCAGACTGATAGGCACTAGAAGGTGTCTGGACCTCATCCTGCCTGGTGGGTGCCTGGCAAGCTGTGTAAATGGCGACTTTTGAGCCCATCTCTCATGTTTGGCAACTTGATACCTTTTAGCCCCCCATGGTGACTATCCAGTAGAAACTACATACTGTGCAATCAGCATTTTGCAAAGAAGTCCTTAGCACTGAAGTGAGCAAGTATTTAACATCTAAATAGTGGACACCAACGTAATTTTCATTAAGCCCTCTCACACAAGCAGCACTGTTCTGAATTTGGCCTGGTTCCTTTCTAAATACGCTGTTCTTGTTTGCAGCTGGACATGATATAGGCCATGGGCTTGTGGAAACCCAGGGCTGCCATCTCTTTGGTCCTGGGAGCTCTACTAGAACAACCTGGAAGAGGCCACTCAAAGGGACCAGAAGCTCTGAAGATCATGTTAGCAGGTTACTCTGAACTGAATCAGAGTCTGGCTCTGTGGAGTGAACACATACACATATATTATAAGGGATAATTTAGACCCCATACATGTTTATAAAGTTAGTCATTATTTTCTGACTGGCACATTATTTCTTTTGTGGTGTTATTTTTCTCAGTATGTGACACACATATTTTGAAGTTTCTGAAATAGCTTCCGTCTGGAGTGGTATACTGGTAAAGACTAGTATATTTGCGAGGTCCCTGGTATCTCATGTGGCACCAGGGCATGGCCACTGGTGATTCTCCACCTTCTAGGAGCCACTTGTCTGATGTTCCAGCTGCAACTACAACTCGTGCTGACTGAGGTAGCATTTGTTTCTTATGACCAATACCCAAGGTAGGAATATCATGAGGAAAGGCCAACCCAACCTGTTTCTCTTTTAGTTAGGCCTTTTAAATCACCTCATGACTTTGGTTTTTTGTGTACTGTAGTTTTCCTTCAGTGGGGTGGGAAGGGGAGCTCCATTTCCTTGTATAAGCATTGTAAGCAAAGACTAGTGTGTTCTAATGAAGAAAAGGCCCATATCAGTGAGCCTGAAAAACAAAAAGAAAAACTGAGGAATTTACTACCAGTGATTAGGAGTGTATTATCCCACTTTTCCACTTACAGACCTTATCAAAAGAAAGTCTGAGCCGGGCACTGGTGGCTCATGCCTGTAATCCTAGCTACACAGGAGGCTGAGATCTGAGGATCATGGTTCAAAGCCAGCCAGGGCAGGAAAGTCAGTGAGACTCTTATCTCCAATAAACAACTAAAAAAACCAGAAGTGGTGCTATGGCTCAAGCAGTAGAGCTCTAGCCTTGACCTGAAGAGCCCAGGGGCGTCGCTCAAGCCCAGAGTTCAAGCCCTACCACTGACAAAAAAAAAAAAGGAAGTCTAGTTGTATTAAAACACTTCTATAATTTTACAACCTTCCTATCTCTACCTAAGTCAAATTTTATATTCCTTTGGGTATTTTCTTTCCCCAAAATCAGAAAATAGCCAAGCCATTTTCCCCTAGGTCTCTGTGTGTCTCTTTCTGTGTGTGTCTTTTTCCGACTTTCTCTTTTCTGTTCTCATTTCTCCCCCAAATTCTTATTCCTCCTTCCTTGATGTCACAGACTTCCTGATGCTCAGCTGATCATATCGTCAGCATCTCATAAATGGTCACAGATGGACTTTATTTAGCAAATGCCTTTTTTTTTTTTTTTTTACTGGTCCCAGGATTTGAACTCAGGGCCTGGGCACTATCCCTGAGCCTCTTTGTGCTCAAGGCTAGTGCTCTACCACTTGAGCCACAGTGCCACTTCCAGCTTTTTCTGAGTAGTGTATTGGAGATTAGAGAGACTCTCACCGACTTTCTTGCCTGGGCTGGCTTCAAACTGTGATCCTCAGAACTCAGCCTCCTGAGTAGTTAGGATTATAGGTGTGAGCCATCTGCACCCATCTGCAAATGCTATTTTAAAGGCTTAAGTGTCTCATTCATCTGTGGATCACTGCTGTCTCCCTTGTCCCCCTCCCAAAAAATGTAGTGCTCTGTTGAGAATACAAAGTCTGTATAGCCTCCTATGGTGATGCACACCTGTAATCCCAGCACTCAGGAGGCAAAAGCAAGAAGATTGCAAGCTCAGTGTCAACATGGACTGTCTAATGAAACCCTGTGTCTCAAAAATAAACAGATAAAACCTCCATGTATTAATCTAAAATGGATCTTCAAGATAGTAATATTCTCCTAAGGAGAGAGACTGGTTTACCGTGGGTTTCTAAGATTATTTCCTTGATATTCTTCATACTTGAGTCAAATTTGACCTACAAGAGCCCACTTAACCCCAGCAAGGGATGCCATGTTAGATGTTTGGAAATTGGACAAAATTGAGGTATTCTTAGACTCACAGAGAATATAATTTGGTTCTCTAAATTTTGCATTCTTACCAGTACAGTATGACCTCATAAGTACTTCCTGTCTTCCGACAGATTGAGGAATTTCTCTTGGAAACATCAGTCCTAGCAAACCAGAAAAGGCTTACATTGTGCTAGTCCTATAGAGCTTTTGATTCTTTTTGTTTTAGGTAATACATCACAGGAAGAAAAGAGAAAGGAGAGGAAAGGACCAAATTACCTGTGTAACTTACAAATCCACTGCATGTAGGCACAGCATATGAGCTGTGTGGATCTCATTGTAGCGTACTATTTTGAGTGGAGGCATCATGTTTAGGATGAATATATCAAGGTCCCACTTCCCTGAAATGAGACTTTCAGATCAACAAAAATCCTTAATGATCTGCAGGCATTTTGCCTCAGACAGCAGCAAGCATTGTTTTGGCATCCATTAGACATAGGCTAGTTCCTCAGTAGTCCAGTAGAACTCCATGTGATAAGCTTCAAAGTGAATTAGAAATCACTGATCTATTCTCTGTTACTGGTCCTACTGAAATTCATTGACTTAGAGAGGAGGCACGGATAAAAGAGTGCTGCTTACCACTCACTATGTGAATGACCTATGCATTTCCAAATGTCCTCTTGAGACTATTTCTTGCTCCCTCTTAGGAACCACTGTTTTAACTTAGATAAAGTTTCCAGTCTTGAAAAGCTGTTTGGAGTAGGCAAGTGTTTGGTTTGTTGGCTTTTGTTTTTGTTTACCAAATCCAGGCTAGCATGGTAATGCATTCCTGTAATCTCAGACACTTGGGAGGCAGAGACAGGGGGATCACCATTCAAATTCAGCATGGGTAAAGGTAGCAAAAAACTTTCTGAAAAACAAGACAAAAACAAAAGGGCCAGGAGCATAGCTCATGTGGTAAAATGCTTGTTTAGCATGCATGAAGCCCTAGGTTCAATCTCCAGAAAATCCAAAAGAGAGGGGGGAGAGAGAGAGAGAGAGAGAAATGAACACAGATCTATACCACAAATCTATACTTCTACTTTAAGGTGTATAGGGCTTAATTGTTGGTTTTGATTTGATTGAAACAATGGATATTCAGGTTGGTTTTATCTTCTTTGTGCCTCATTTCTTCTGTCTTCTCCTTCAAGTATTCTGTTCAGAACAAAGTTGTTGACTCATCATATAGTAAGTGCCATCAGGTGACAATGTGTAGTTGAAAGAGAAAATACTTGGTGAGCCCCAATTCCGGGTTTGAGTCCTGCCTCTATTTCTTGCTATGTGGCATATGTCAGTGCTCAATCCATTGGCTGTGTAACAGGCTTATTTAGCTGGGGGCATGCTCATGAAAGTACTCTATGAATACAAAGATACTTTCTACAGCAAAGGGGTTTATTAATACTTCAAATAGGAGATATTAATACTTCAAATAGGACAGATGGACTTTTTAATAGGTCTGCCTCCTGTCTTCCATCTTACTTCTTTTAGAACCTGAGTTTTCCAGTGCTGATAACTCTCTTGCGATTATACTAGGTTTTCCTATATAGTTACTACATGAAAAATTAAAGTACCTGCAATCAAAAGTAGTGGGGTTAGGACCAAAGGTATGTTTTAGTAATTTTGGCAAGGTGATCATGCATCCTAGTTTACTAGTGATTTTTCCTAGCATAGTAGACAGTGTTCTCACTCTTTATTTATTTATTTATTGTTGTTGTTGTTGGTTGTGGGGCTTGAACTCTGGACCTGGGCACTGTTCCTCAGCTCTTTAGCTCAAGGTGAGCACTCTGCCACTTGAGCCACAGCACCACTTCTGGTTTTCTGGTGGTTAATTGGAGATGAGAGTGTCACAAACTTTCCTGCCTGGGCTGGCTTTGAACCACGTTCCTCAGATCTCAGCCTCCTGAGTAGCTAGGATTACAGGCGTGAACTACCAACACTGGGCCATTGTTCTCACTCTTAAAAGTATCTTGGTGTGTACTATAGATCACCTAGGTTTTACTGTTAGTCTCAAAACCAAAACCCAAGCAGTGGCCATATGCTGCTTTGCCGTTTTTCTGGTACCTCTTTGTGGAGCTAAGCAGAGACAGGGAGCAAACAGCACGATGGGAGTCCCTATGCAGCATTTTTGTTGCCATGTTTCAGAGAGCTTTGGGAAGTCTAGGTTATATAGCTCATGGCTAAGGTTTGGGATCTGCCTCCTGCACCTAAACCTTGCCACCACCTGGCTGCCAAGCCAAAGCAACTTCCTGGTCCTGCTTAGGAGTTGACCCTGGCTTTCTTGCCCTGGGCCAACTGGCAGAATGAAGCAGAAAGTGGAAATGTGTATGATGTTTAACAGATATTAGCTAACGTGGCCCCATCACCAGTCATGTTTGATAAGTCTTCCTTTCAGTAGCAAGCAGGGTCTGATAGAAAGGACGTAGAGAAAGGGTGCTTCTGGTTCCTTACACTTTCACCTCCAAATAGGTCTGTCCCTGTAATCAGAAGTAGAGTTTAGTGTTGGCTTCCTGCAGTTATTGTGGAAAGGAAGAAAATGCGCCTTTCTCCATCTAAATATGCCCAAGACTATAAACTTAGAGAGGTATAATGGAATAGTGTTTGAAAATATCACCTGCATATTAGATATTCCTATTACATAAAAGTGGCAGAAAGCACTTTCCAGTCCCAGGTCCTTATGTGAGTTCTTTAACTTCTGTAAACAACAAAATAGTGAAATCTTACTTAATCTGTGAATACAGTTGCTGGGGAAAAAAACAGGATCTTCTCAAAGGGAGTTCATAGGTGGCTTTATAGGAGCTGGTTGGATAATGGGAATGGGCCATTCTACCAGGTAGAGTTAAGTAGCATTGGACATACAACTCATTCCCAGACCTACCTACTTTTGCACTACAGAATTATGGAATGGGTAAAGGTGCTGATTGGGGCCCCAACACGACCTGCCATTAAGTTTCCTGTGGATGACTGTGGAATTTTCTTTCTTTTTTTCATGTGTATCCTAGGGCTTGAACTCAGGGCCTGGGCGCTGTCTCGGATCTTTTCTTTGCCCAAGGCTAGTGCTCTGCTTCCAGCTTTTTTGAGAGAAGAGTCACACAGACTTTCCTGACTGGACTGGCTTTGAACAATAATTCTCAAATCTCAGCCTCCTAAGTAGCTAGGATTATAGATGTGGGACCCTGGCACCCAGCCCAAGTAATTTTCTAAACCCCTCTTTGTTGCCTAGTTACTTTCCC